ACTTTTAGTTATAAAATTCTACTTTATAATTTTAGTACTACCGTGTTTATTATTTGTGTATTTATACTATTTGTGTATATACGTTAAAATTTTTAATACTCGTGTTCGTGAAATTTCTAATAAAAATTTAATTTTATATAGAATTTTAATTTTGATCCAAAATGGAAAAAGGTAAAATTATTTTAATTAAAATTATTATAAAATAATATTGAGGAAAAGCATTTACTACATTTAATATTCAAATAATTTGAAAGATTGGGGTATATAATTTTTTCAATAAATGAAAGCGCTGAAATTTGAACCTAAGTAGTAGCTACGTGAATTATTATTTTTTAATACAGCTTTCAAATGATAATTGCTGAATTTTATGAAAATTCAATAATTATTTTAATCGCATTGAGATTTGTCTTTTTTGTCTGAGATTCGAAAATCATATCACTTTTGTAATTTTGGCGGTAGTATATTCGAATTAGATAAAATTAGTTAACAAAGTCTTCTTGTATATTAAAAGAAAAATAAAGATCGAAAAAACTAAAATTTCTTGAACAAAATCGAAATTTTGTGCTTCCAACAAATTTATTAATTCATACAGGTAAGAAATTACAGATAGAACTTGTGAGGCGTATATATATGTAATTATGCATTCGAAATTTAAAAACTAAGTAATAACATAATGTAACAATATACCTTGGGGACTAAATTATTTTTTGGCAGCTCGAACTATTGTCTCAATCAAATTCAAATTTCGAATTCAAGAAATAAGCGAAAATTATATGTAAATCTATCTTAACTAATATTAACACTCTTTAAATAGTAACCTCTATTTACAGCATTAGTAACACTTCTATTTATTAACATTACAAACGGAGCGGTATGTAAGTAATGCCTTTCCAACATTCTTTCATATGGTTTGACTTTCATTATGGCACTTTTCTAAGAGCTTTTGTATAATTATATAATTGAATATTATAACCGTATATGAAACTTTTTATATTTTTGCTGATCTTTTTTTCTGATCTAACACATATTTTCCTGTTACACACATTAAAAGTATTTATACTGCAGGTTCTACAATATTACAGTCAAATAAATCTATTCAATTTCTTTTTTTATTCTGTATGCATAAAAATCAAAAATAGCTATAATTTTTTCTTCGCTCTTTGGTTAAAATATGTCAAGTGGCTATTTTTACTTTTAATATGTATGAAAATTTATTTTTATCTTTTATTTAAATGTTAAAAAGTTGAATAACAATTATTGGAAATGAAGCAAAACTTTCTACATTTTAATCGTTTCATATTTATTTTCTAGTGATTTTTATTTGTTTTTACCTTTTCCCATGCCGTTCTTTTAATATTTATTTATTTGTTTTCTTCATTTTTTGTTTTACTATTTTCCCTTTTATTTTTTATTAAAAACTATTACTATTTTTAAGGACATCACTACTATACTAATTTCTACCATCACTGCCATTATGTGCGTCACAACATTTTTAATTTTGTAAAAATTATTCTGCATTGTATCGAAAAATAAAAAATTTATATGAAATATAGTTGGTACACATGCAAAATCATATACCTATACATCAATATACAAATTATATATATATATTATTATTGTTTATATCAAATAATCAACTTCACAATTAACTGCATAGTGGCATTTAGTTGAAAGGACATAATGTAGATGTATTCAGCAAATAGGTTATAAAAAAAATTTGTATTAGAAAATAAAATATTCATGGGTCTTGTTAAATATTTGAAAATAGAGTGCTGATATACATATGTATGTATGTTTGTAAAAATACATAGTCAAGCAAACCAATGATTTGTAAAGTAGCACATTTCACTTTGGTAAAATTGTGTTAAAAGCTATTAGGATTAAATTTAACCACTAGCTATTAGAATTTTATAAAACCTTTAAATTTTAAAAGTAGAAGCTTTAGTTGAAATTTGTTATAAGCAATATTTATTGCATATATTTAGGGTAAAATTTTCAAAATTTGCCATTTAAGAGAAAATATAACAAAAACAAGAGATTAAATTAGCGATCAATTTAAAAATTAATATGATATTCCGATATTTTCTTACAATTTTCTTGTAATAAAATCTACCATTCTAATTTTTTACGTTTGCCGTAATAGAGTGCAGAAAAATAATATTCTTTGGTATTTGAGGGATTATAGTAAGTTGAGTAAAAAGTTTTGTTCTAAGGAAATAGTATTGTCTGTTAACTAAAAGACGGACGAATGGATAAATAAATAAAGTGAAACTAATAAAAGCAATTTTTTAAACAATTTTTTGGGAAATGTTCTTAAAAAAGAACGGTAATTGAGTAAGAATTTTCTGAAAAATTGCAATTTTATTCCTTTTTTTAAAAAATGGCGTTTGTTTTGGTTTTTATATTAGTATTTTGAGATACACTGTTCTGTATATAAAATTGTGAGTTACATATTATGAAAGCAATATACAGATTTCAACAGTATTTTATTAAGAATAATTGAAAATAATTGTTATTTTTTATAAAACAAAGAATTTTTAAGAAATAAAAAATAAACAGTACAAGTCCTATAATTGGAAAACATTTTCATTTATTCTGCCAAATTTTAGACACACTCATCTTAAATAAAAACCGATGTCAAAAATTTGGAAAAACAAGTTGAGTAAGCTATTCCGCAGAAGAAGAAACAATTGGATTTTTTTCTTCGTATTCGGAATTTGAAAGACAATTGTTGTTTCGAAACAATTAGTTGTCAAAAAGATTATTTTTGTTAAAAATTTTCCCTTTTATAAATTTCGAAAAGATCGACTTGTATATAAAATTTTACAAATTTTCTTAAAATAGAAAAAAAAAGGGTGTAGAAGTTTTATAAATGTAAAATGACAAATGGATGGATTGATTTTTAGTTTTGTTGGAAATGCTTTAAAAATGCAATAGAAATGTTTCGAATAAATTTCGCACGTCCTCATGTTCTATAAAACAATCTAAAAATTGATTATGTATTATAAAATTCGGAATCAAATTCCTTAATTTTATGAAAACTAAAATTTAAAGTTATGAATTCTAAATTCAAATAATTATACAGAACTTGTAACACATGGGCTTGTCACATTTATTATTCATTTTGTTTAAAAAACCAAATATTTTATTGGAAAAACAATTAATATCCGTACAGAACGTTTGCTTGTACGCGTATTATAATTTTGCCTTTCCGTTTGCAGCGTTGAGAAATAACAGTTTTAGATATGTGCATGTAATGTGTATCTATCCTTGGTCAACTTCGAATTCTGTATCAATTTGTTTTTGTCTGATAATCTGTTGATCCAAGCGATAAATCATAAACCAGCTGAGCTAAGTTCACTAAATTTTTATAAACATTTTTAATCAGAGGATCCGGTATCTCTTGTATTACTTCTATATTTCTGTCAAAAATTATTGAGATTGCATGAGCTCTTATGGTAGCTGCCATATCACTTCAAAAGTTATTTCGTCAGATTTTAGAAAATACTCAAACTACAGTACTAATGTTTAAATTGAGGTATACGGCTACATAAGAACAAAAGGTGATTTGAATTTTTATATTAGTGACAAATATTATAACTTTAACACGGTCAACTCAATCTATTCTCCTTTTTAAAATTTTTTTTAAAGTTAACTTTGATATGCATCATAAAATTTTACAATACATACACATTCATATATTTGTTTAGTTCAACATTCATACATACCCACATTCAATGTTAAAATTAAAAGCAAAAAAGAAAAACAGAAAATATTATTCGTAAAATCATAAATAGAATTGAGTATTTTTAAAAATAAAGCGAACAAGCTATAGAGTTATTTTGTAAAAATATACTGTATGCATGAAGGTACATGTATAGAATGCTAGTATATAATGTAGACAAAGATCAAAGAAATAAAATTGTTAGAGCGAGTAATTGTGTATTTCTGATTTTTATGTATGTGTTAATGTATATGTTCAAATATAAATGGAGAATTTGTAAAGTTAAAAGGATAGTTAGTTTTATAGTCATCTGAATAGAGAACTTATCACTTTTGGATTTTCTATGCGATTTTATAATATGCATATTATACTTATATAATAATAAAATTGAATAACCTTTATTCTGTATGTATACACAATAATAATATATATAACCATGAACTTTTTCACATATATTTTCATGTTGAACACAAAACGCATAAACATTGTTTTGTTGACCATTTTGGTTTCCTATACCTTGAACTTGTCTGGCAGAAGAGTTTCTTCTTTATAAATTACTATAAATTACGTTTCATTTACTAAAATCAATCTTCTATATGTGCCAAATCAAAATTACTCCATACATAGGGCTTAAAAATTTTTTTTGAATTTTGTAATATCTGGATTGTTTTTCGCCAATTCTACAAGTTTTTAAAATTGAGTTATGTTATTTTTTTTTTAAATGAAATATTTTATATTAATTATAAAGATTATTTTTAATTCTCAACCATATTTCCAGCTTTTAAATTTAACTAACTCAATAACATTATTTAAAATTTTTGTCACTACTTCCACACTTGTCGGAATTTATAATACCAAACTTCCTCATTTGCCAGATTTCTATATCGTCTAATTTCAACTCAACTCATTTTAATTTTAAAAAATTTTTACTCTTTTTTTTCTCTTTTATGTATGTTATGATTACGATATATAAGGGGAGAACACGTCTTTGATGACTAAAAATTATAATGTTTCTCCATTGTATATATATATGTACATATATATATTATATATATATACATGTATTAATTTAATTATGTATTAAAAGTAGTATACTAGTATACATATATTATGAAAACTGTACAATAAAGTAATTAATATTTTTATTATTTATTTTTCTCTGTCTTTTTAGATATTTTTTCTTCTTGTGTTGTTCTTCACGCAAAATTAATTCGCTAAAAAAGGAAAACATTATATAATAGAAAATTCATAACATTACAAAACATAATAATAAACACAACAATATAATAATTAAAAAAAAATAAAAAAAAAACTATTAAATGAAAAAAAATTTAAAGTTATAAATAAAATGTCCTGATATTTTCCTTGTGAACAAAAAAAAATTATTTTATTTTTTAACTTCTTCCTCTTCAATAAATACTATACAAAAGTATTAAACCACAAGACGATTTTAAAATTAAATAAAATGTAGTTAAAAAATATGAAAAAGAAATTTTATTTAAAGTTTCGCACAAAGAAAATCAATACGAATACACGTATAAAAATTGTACATATATAAAATAAAATTTAAAAAAATCTGGATAGTGAATTGTAAATAAATATTTAAAATATAAAATAATTATTTTTTGAGTGCCAAGATAATTACTTTACAAAAAAAAAAAAAGAAAATTTTAATTTAATAAAAACAGAATAAACGGCGCATTTAAATAAGAAAACCAAATTTATTTATATAAAATTTTATTATGTTAACAGATACTAGAAATGGGCAAGAGTATATAAAAGGATAAATACAACCGAATCTAAATAAAATTGAAAACGCACTTACCATATATTCAAAAAAGGAAAACGAAATTACATTCAAAATTCTAAAGAAAATCTAAATATTTTTTTTTAAATTATTCAATAAAAATAAAAGAAGGGAAAAAATGGGAAACGTATGCAGCTCTGGTCAAAAGAAAAAGGATGGCGATAATACATCTGAAAAATCTGAAGAGTAAGTAAACAAATTTTAATTTTATTTAAATTTTAAAACAAAACTCTAGAAATTATTCATTGCAGCTTCAAATACTTTAAATACTTATATTGTTTATTTTATTTAGCGGTATATTTTTGTATGTCCTTTACTCTCTTTAAGGGGTTAGCCTTAGGAAAAAAATTACTGTAGTTGAAAAGTTTGAATCGGCAGAATAGTACAAAATAATTTTTTGTTAAAATTTACTATATTTAAATGTAACAACAACACAAAAACTTATCAAGTTATCACAGCCAGTTTAAAATATTAATTTCCAGAATCCTATATTAAATTTTTATGTGATTAAAGTAGCGGCTCAATTTACTGTCATACAATTTCAGAAACCCATTTAAACCATTCTTATTACAAAAGCTGGTATTACAGCTAGCGCCTTGAATTGAGTAGAAATAAATGATACTCACTATTCACCAAATTCAAAAACGAAAGTTTATCTAAATATTTTTGGTTTTTTATGATACTGTTTTTATAATTTTAAAAATGTGTTATAATTGGCGCAGCATACCACTACAATTTTTCATATTTAATTTAATGAAGTTATCTGACCATTGGTGCAGTGGTTATGGCACCGGCCCTTTAACCGAAGGGTCTCGGGTTCAAACCCCGGTCAGGTCACTATAAAAATTATATTTAATATTATTATAACTTAATATACAATACTAATAAATATTATACAAGTAATTTTCAAATATTCGTAATATTCGATATTAAAAAACTAAGAAAAATAAACAGTAAATATTAATAACCTCAAATAATTAATATAAATAAAACTACGGCAGGCTAGTCACCTACCTAGTTAAACTCTATGACGCTATGAAACTAGTGCATGAGAAATCATGCACTAGCCCTATGCTCCTTCTAGGAGTGAATAAGGAAAAAAAAAAAAAAAAAAAAAATTTAATGAAGTTAAACTCCTAAAATTATTCCTAAAACAAGTCAAAATCACTTGAATCTACAAGACAGCTTCAAAACATTTTAAATTAACAATATCCCAAAGAATTAAAGCAGTTCTTTTTAAATGTAATCAAAATCCGTTCGATTCCCTTATAATGAAATAACTCATATGATTTCTAACGAATTACTAATTTTTACTCTAATTACTGAATTGATACGGTCAACTCCTTTTAACTCTCATTTCTTACAATACAATATTATGAAAATTAGATAAATAAATAAAAATATTTTATTTCAATATTATATTTCTTTCAATACAAAATTGATTTTTACTCAATTCAGTAGAACAATGCAAATAAAATTAATAAATGAATACAATTAAAGAATTAGTTTTTACTTTGTATATTTATAATCGTTTATTAATTAAAAATGAAAAAAAAGTAAATAGAAATAATTTTTTTCCCTCTTATATATAAAACAATTAATATGAGAATTAATTTTTAACATTGGCTGCGATAGTTTTTCTTTACTTAAAATTTGTTAATTGATTTGACGCAAATCGTCATACTGTGATAAGTGAATATTAACAATAATAATTCTTATTATGAAAATAAATTGTTATATTCATCATTTATATCATTTAGAAGATACATATATAGTCTTTTACGTCAATAGTATAATAGTTAAATAAATTTTTAGTTAATGTTGACTAATGAAAATCAAATTTTATATTAGAAATATTGGTACAATATTGGCTTTTTACATTAGAAAAACTTATGGTAAGCCATTTGTTCTTAATTATGCAAATTGAAGTAAATTTTCTTGAAAATTTTAAAACGCATTTTATGGTAAAAATTAACATGTTATTTAATTGTTTTAATTGTTTAATTAAAAATTTATGTTTAAATCAATTAGTCCTTTATTAAATAACAGAAATTCCATATATATTGTACATTTTATAATACAAGTATTATGGCTTACATTTACAATCTTGTTCTCTAGTTCCCCAATTCTCTTTTTATGTAAATATGATAACATTGCATATCCGCTTATTATTAAATAATCACTCTCCAAATACTTCAACGATAGTAAACAATATTTCAACACATGCATATAGCATTCTCTTTCAATCACATTTTATTATTATTGAATTATGTTGAAATTATCATTCACCAGTTTGCTTGCATTACAGATAATCACCATATTAGTTACTTATAGAAAATAATTTTTATGTTCACCTACTTTTAATAATGATTTCTTTAAGTTATTTTGATTTTCATAATAAAATAAATTTGATATTTTTTTTAACTCAATTATGCTAGACTATAAAAAATAATATGTATTTAAATAATATTCACAAGAAAAATCTCCTTTTTAAAATTATAAAAAAAAAAATTAATTAAAAAATCTTTCGAATTCCTACTTAAAAGGGAAAAATCAACATAACACTATCGATTTCCATAGCAAATATTTTTTTTCTTGCAAAAATTGGATTCTTGAAATTTATACTCATTGCATTAATTCATAACAATATTTTTTAAGATTTTATTTCGTAAATTTTTTTATATTTTATGAAAATTGAACCCACTGATTCAATATTTTTTTCTGTTTCTTAATTTAAGTCATTACTATTACGAACATATTTATGGTAGATTGTAAGCGCAGTTCATAAATGAGCACATTTCATTTTAAAAATATTAATCTTACTTAAGAATAAAAACAAATTTTAAAGCACCTTTAAAAATTTTAAAGGATATTGTATATATGTAGAAGGTAAGAGAAACTCGAAAGAGTAAATTGAACATTTGTACTCGTATACCAGAAGAGCGAACCACCATTTTTAAAGGTTGTTGAATTTCAATTCTATGTATAGGTCGGAAATTTTTGATTTGTAAACGTCATTTCCAATCAAAAGTTTAATCAACTCATAAGATCTATACAAAGGTATATTGCAGTGCATTTTGATACGAGACACCCTGTTTATACTTAAGAGATAAATTAAAGAACATTTTAAATCATTTATAAACATAAAAGTAAAATTAAATTGCCAATGAAAATAATTAAGTCCATTTTAGTCAACAGGGGTTTTCTTTGATAGAAAAAATAGAATTACGTCTAGTTCTCTTTAAATAATTCGAGAACAATAATTTTGATTGTTATATCTCTTAAGTTTAAACTTTATAGACTTTATAGACTTTAAACTTTATAGACTGACAGACTTTAAGACATAATGAAACTGATAAGTGTATTTTTCTACCAATATTTTGAAAATCTGCTTAAAATAGGAAATAACAAGAACTGAATACAAAAATGCATGGAAAACTTTTGAAAGTTGAATACAAAAATATGCGAAAAAATTATTAAAAGTGGCGGCGCGGTGAATGATTTCTAATGTTGCCGACAACTTTTTAATTTTTTAATTTATTCATACTTGTTGTAGCATATGAGTATACTATGTATAATATACATATTCATCTGACATACATGTATACATTTTATATAAAAAATGATTTTATTACAAAATTCTCTCAACACTCTTTTGATCGCATCAAGTAAGTTTTTGTATGATTATAAGAAAATCTAGTTTTCACTTCAGAAAATTGGTTTAATAAATTCGTAAAATATTGTTGTCGTTGTATCCATAAACTGATTTCGTTCATTATTTTCATTATGTTTTTTTGCAAAATATTTTTTGCTTTATGAATTATAAAATATAAAAAATATGTAAGATTTAATGCTGAAAAGAAAACACATTAAGATTATATGCTTATTTTTGTTGACTTAATTTGAATTCATATTTACAAAATATTTTGAAATGCTCTTAAAACTCAAATGTTCATAAGACTTAATAAATAATTAGATCAGAGCTATAATTGATAAAATTTGTATTTTGAGAATATTAAACTTTGTATACCAGGCAGTATAATAAAGTCATAAAATCGTATGTAACAATGATTATGTTTAAGAAATATTTGTATTCTAGTTTGTGGCATTTAAAAGTTATTATGTGGCTCCTTTATAATAATGACACCATAGCTATTCTGATAAAAACTGTAAATTTATACTTAAGTAATAAGAAAATTTTTAATTTTCTTTAAATCATAGTTGTCGTTATTAAAATTCCATTAGGAAAATTTACGACGGTAAATGTAGTAAAGCTCATTAAAATCTTATTAATATTAATTGCACAGAATAATCCAAAATTATTGTTAGAGATACTGAAAATATAAATTTTAAAATATGAAAAAATGCTTGATTCACAATAATTATTATTAAAAAAATTTAATTTTCTCTATTAACTCATCAAATATCTTATTTTTAGTAAGTTTATGTTGGGGCAGAGCGAAACCTTACAAAATCCAACATATGTAAGTGTACCTCGCAAAATCAAATATAAATCACATAACTCTATAAGCGTCGATGTAACAATCAAAAACAAAATGTACAAGAAAACAAAAAATTTGTCATAACAAGAATTTTTTTAAATTTTATGATTGGCTTTTGTACAAAATTTTTAAAACAAGACCAGAAAAATTAACCTTACATCCAAAGATACATGATATATGTACACTCTATATAATTCATATGCATGTATGAATTATATAGAGTGTATTGTGTCTACAACTACGCTACATGGTTTTTCTTTGATCATCTCAGAAAATTTTTTCTTTTATTTTTATTTTTAATGCCTTGTCTCTTTGATTGCACATACACAAATACTTTTGTTTTGTTTTATTATTTTATTAATTTTTAGAAAATTTAAAACATGTGTCAATATATTCAATTAAAATTGAGAAATAATTTTCAATTAAACTTATTAATTCTATAGGATATTTTTTCAACAAAAAGGCTAAAAAACAAGTAGGAATGGTGATGACAATCATAATTTCTGCAAAGCGGTATTCCGTTATAAAGTATAGGGTTTTATGATTGTTGAAATATTTTTATATTCTTAGCGTAATTTAAATTTCTGTATAGTTTGTGTAATGTAATCGAGAAAATAAACTTCATGTAGATATTTTTTTTAGGTATAACAGAACAAATTCCCCGAAATTTGAATATATGATGAA